GATAAAGAAGAGTCTGACTTAATTACTCCACGTGCAAGTGAAAACGGATTTGGTTAAACAAATGAGCCTGCCAGCCAAGGACATCAGACTCATGTTGGACTACGTTTCAAATGTACATCAAATTGTATCAGCCACACGTGCACAGAAGCAGGGCTGCGAACACTTACATTTTAATTCTTACGAATGTGTGTTTAGCAAAGTAATATGTGCTCAGAGCTTCCTAAAGTCAAATGAGGTTCCAAGTCTTACAATGAACAATGGTGCCCAGCCTCCTCCGTCCTCTTTGCCATTTCTAAGTCTACATTTCAACTTGCCGTTCCTTCTGGTTTTTTATTTTTTTTTAAAATATATTTTATTGATTTTTTTACAGGGAGGAAGGGAGAGGGATAGAGAGTTAGAAACATCAATGACAGAGAAACATCGATCAGCTCCCTCCTGCACACCCCCCACTGGATATGTGCCCGCAACCGAGGTACATGCCCTTGACTGGAATTGAACCCGGGGCCCTTGAATCTGCAGGCCAACGCTCTAACCACTAAGCCAAATCAGTCAGGGAGTGAAAGTACTTTATAAATACCACACCAAAGGGGGACATTCAACTACATAATACCAAAATTAAAAAATACATGTGCTCGCTTCGACGGCACATATACTAAAATTGGAACGATACAGAGAAGATTAGCATGGCCCCTGCGCAAGAATGACACGCAAATTCGTGAAGCGTTCCACATTTATTAAAAAAATACACTAGAATCATGAAAGACATGATCAACTCAAAACATCAAAGAATTTGCCTGAAAGCGGTGCCTCAGAGGTTGTCTCTACCTACGAACTAGAAAGTCACAGTTCGGTTCCATTAGGGTACAGGCCTGAGTTGAAGGCTCAATCCCTGATCATACAGTAAACAGCCCATCGATGATTCTCTCTCTTCACTGATGTTTCTATCTCTCTCTCCCTCTCCTTTCCTCTCTGAAATCAATAAACATACATTAAAAACACAGTAATTAAATAATCAAAGAATTTGTACATAAATCATTACAATTTTAATTCATTAAGATTTTGATTCAGAGAAGCCAAGAAACACGTGGAAATGTGATCAGAATTTAAGGAACTCCTAAGATACTAACAAATCGGCTACCAAGGGGAGCCCATAGAGACAGAATAGTGAAAAGCAGTAGGTAACTTATATAAAAAATTAATTGTTTAAGATCCTGACAATTGGAGAAAGCAACATACAAATGCAAGGAGCTCACGAAATCTAAGGAGAATGAATATAAACATGAGAACAGATAAAAAAACAATGAAAATATGTGTCTCAGAATACTATCTAAAGACATATAAAGAATAATTCTTCATGGAAAAAACAGCTCCTCTAAGATCATTTGGGGTTTTCTAAGCAGAAAAATACTGCAGAGAACAATGGCATGAAATAAAACATGGAACTGATAAATGAACAAAAGCACCCAACGACGACCTGATCAGTTTGGCTCAGTGGATAGAGTGTCGGCCTGGGGACTGAAGGATCCCGCGTTCGATTACAGTCAGCAGCATGCTGTGGGTGCATCCGTGGTTGTGGGTGCATCCCTAGTAGTTGGTGTGCAGGAGGCAGCTAATGGATGTTTCTCTCTCATTGATGTTTCTGACTCTCTGTCCCTCTCCCTTCCTCTCTGTAAAAAATCAATATATATATTTTTTAAAAACCACCCAATAAGAATATTTACAAAACAGATAATAAGCAATGGAGACGAAACAATTTTTTAATAATAAAAATCAATAAAATATATTTTTAAAAAAATGCTGACATGCCAAGCTCAAAAGGTTCGCCACCATTGATCTACACAAAAGCCTACAAGGAGGCTGTTTATTCAAAATTTACTAAAATTGGAAGCATTGAAGAGGACTGGCAACAAGGGAATGGATAAATACACTTCAGGAAGTACAATAATGTCTTATTCACTACTATCCCATCTAATAAAGGGGGAATGTGCTAATTGACCCTCACGCTGTCGCAAACATGATGGTCCCCACAGCCAAAAAGGAGGGAATAAGCTAATTGAGTGCCATGCCCTCAAAGGTGGTGGTGCCCACATCCACAAGATGGCTAGCTGGGGAGGGCAGTTGTGGGCAATCAGGCCAGCAGGGGAGGGCAGTTAGGGGCAACCTGGCTAACAGGGGAGGGCAGTGCGGGGTGACCAGGCCTGTAGGGGATAGCAGTTGGGGGGACCAGGCCTGAAAGGGAGGGCAGTGGGGGGGACCAGGCCTTGAGGGGAGGGTAGTTAGGGGTGACCAGCCTGGGAGGGGAGGGTAGTTGGGGGTGATAAAGTCAGCAGGGGAAGGCTGTTAGGGGTGACCAAGCCATCAGGGGAGGGCAGTCAGGGGCCACCAGGCCATGAGAAGACGGGAGCAGGGGTCGACTCGGCCATTAAGGCAGGACAGTTGAGAGTGAACAAGCTGGCAGGGGAAGGCAGTTGGGGGCGACTGTACTTGCAGGGGAGCAGTTAGGCATCGATCAGGCTGGCAGGGGAGTAGTTAGAGAGTGATTAGGCTGGCTGGCAGGCAGAAGCGGTTAGGGGCAATCAGGCAGGCAGGCGATTGATTGGGAGCGGGATATGCACTGCCCGTTTAGGCCCTATCCCTGTGGGATTGGAATTAAACAGGCAATCGAACAACCCTCAAGGGGTCCTAGATTGGACAGGGTGCAGGCTGGGCTGAGTAACACCCACACCCTCGGTGCACGAATTTTGTGCACAAGGCCTCTAGTAAGGAAACACATGAAGCCATTCAAAAATATGATAGAAGCCTAGATAAATAGAACTAAATGAAAGAATCCAATCTTCCTGCACAGGTAGCCCAGTTGCTTAGAGGATCATACCAATATAACCAAGTTGTAGGTTTGATCTCTGGTCAGGGCATATACAAAAACATCAACTAATGCCCAGCTTACGTTTCTATCTCTCTCCAATTCTCCCTTCTTCTCTGAATTCAATAAAATCTTAGAAAATAAAGGACAGTGGAGTATAAATTTTGATAAAGCTTTCTCATTTCAAATCCAGGTTGTCCTCTGGCCAGAGACATGGTAGTAACTTAGAATATTCTAGAAAATGATTTTCTAAAATATCCTTTTCTGATAGTACCTTAATTAGTGCAGACAACATGTAAAGTGTGCAAACACTGAGTTCCTAATTCACATATATCACAAAGCTTTGCTTTTCTCTTCTAAGGACCCCCAATTTGTTACTCTTTTAAAACATACATAATTTTATTGCTTTCAGAGAAAAATGGAGAGGGAGAGATAGAAATATCAATGATGAGAGAGAATCATTGATTGGTTGCCTCCTGCACACACCCGACAGGACCCAGGCATTGGTCCTTGACCAGAATCGAACCAGGGACCTTTCAGGCTGCAGGCCGGCCCTCAATCCACTGAGCCCAACCAGCTGGGGCTCAATTTGTTCCTTGGGAGTATGAATCTAACACAGAAAGCAGAAGCCCTTAGAGATCCTATCTAATAAAAGAGAAACATGCAAATTGACCATAACTCCAACACCCTTCCCATTGGCTAATCAGCATATCCTTATGCAAATTAACTGCAAGCCAAGATCGCGGCCGGCAGCCGGGCACAGACGCGAACTGGAGGCTTGCTTGCCCCAGTGATGGAGGAAGCCAAGGTTCCCCGCCTGTCGCTGCCGGCCTCTGAGCTTGCACTCTAAGAAACAGTGTTGCAAGTATAGAAGCTAAACAAACTCCAGAAATCTGCTTTCAGGCAGCAGGGCCTCAGCCAGCAGGACCGCAACAGTGTTTCAATTATAGAACCCAAACAAACCCAGTACCTACTTTCAGCAGCCGAGGTCTCAGAGCTGCAGCCAAAGTCTCAGAGCTGCAGCTGAGCCTCAGCTCCAGTGAGAGCCATAGAAGATAAATAAATCCCAGAATAAAAGAAAAAAGAAAAAAAGGAGAGGTTGGGAGCTTCAGTCACCCGCCAGTCTGAAAACGGCCCTCAGCCCCTCACCCAGACTGGCCAGGCACCCCAGTGGGGACCCTTTCGCTGAAGTGGGTGTGACCAGCTGCAAACAGCCATCACCCCCTCACCCAGACTGGCCAGGCACCCCAGTGGGGACCCCCAGCCTGAAGCAACAAGATGACGGCTAATTTGCATACTGAAGGTGGGCGGCAGTGGGAAAGGCTGTCCATAGTCCTGGCACCCGGATCTGTGACCCTGCCAGGCCGGGGGTAGTGCGGGAGGCTGTCCGCGGTCCTGGGACCTGGATCTGTGACCCTTCCCGGCAGGGCAGCACCTCACACAGGGGCGGATCAGCCGAAGTTGGGCAGGGCAGGATGCCTGGCTTCCGCCCATCCCCAGTCACTCTGGGCAGGTGAGCAGCACAGAGAGCCTCTGGACAGGGGAGGCAGGCTGGCGGAGGGCGGCCTGTACTCCCCACATGGCATTGGTGACAGCTGTGAGTATGCCAAGTGGAGCTTGCAGGCTGAGCTGAAGTAGCGCCTGCAGGCCATCAGCACCCAGGAGTGGCTGCGCAAGATCGCCTCCTGGCCCAGAAGGTGCAGGATTGCAGGGACAGCCACCATGGCGGGCCAGACTGACACCCTCCTGGCTGCTCCACGGGGCTTGCAGATCTGCAAAGCCAGAGGCCTCTGGTGTGCACATCCCCCTCTGGTGTGTGAACATTCCCCAGCACACTGTCACCTTCCCACGCCTGCAACAGTTGCAAACCAAGGAGTGCACAAGTTCCCCCCACCTCTCCACCGCACTTCCATCAACTTGGCATGCCTAACACCCCCACAGGATGTGTACACATCCCCTCTGATGCGCTCACGTCCTTTGGAGAGTGTCTGGGTGTTCTGGGTGCTGAGGATGGGCGCCTGTGAGATGACAGTGAGAGGGCAGAGGGGTGATGCCCTGTTCCCACGGCGGCCAGTGCAACTACGAGATCACCTCTGGGGGGTTAATGCAGGTGCTGAGGCAGGAGCATGTGCAGATAGGCAAACCTGGTGGGCACGGGTGGCCCTTGCTGAGGTGCCTTCGGTCAGCGTTCAAGATCAAGAACCCAGGGGCGGAGAGGAATTCCGTCCTCTCAGTGAAACAGTGGGATAGTCAGCAGAGCCCAGATGCCTACCAGCATTGACCTCCTCACTTGTGAGTTGAATGAGCCTTTAGGTAAAATTATGGTCACCAGTCTTTGAGCCACCCTGGCTGATGCTGAGGGGAGCAGAGGCAAGCTCTGGCCAAATTAGAGATTTATAAGCAAAATAAATGCTCTCATTATTTTAAGCCACTAAACTTTGGAGATTTTTTTTTTTTTCATGCAGCATAGATAACTGGTACCCCATGTGATTCTTAAGATGCAGGAAGTTTGGGGACCTCCTGTACTCAGGGTGTGCCCCCAAAATGTATACACACTTTGAATACCTACTAATTCCAATGGTTTTAAGCATAAGAAAGAAACGACAATGGAGCTGTTATCTGTTAAAAGTGTGGGCACAAACAGGTAGTTGGACATTCCCTGAGGGGTCTCAGATTGGAGAGGGGAGGGCCAGACTGAGAGCCCCTCCGCCCCCAGTGCACGAATTTCGTGCACCGGGCTACTAGTGTTAATATAATAAAGGGAAAAAATCCTGAGGGTTGAGAAGGAACTCAGGAAGGAAGTCATCCTCACCCACGGAGACCAGGTTGCTGTAGTTCTCCAACATCACATCCATGTACAATTTCCGCTGAGCTGGGTCCAGGCATTCCCACTCCTCCTGAGAGAAATCTATGGCCACATCCATGAAGGACAACGGTTCCTGAAATAAAAGACTCAGTAACTAAGAGCTCACAAGAAGAGTTCATAATGTCACCCAACATGAAAACAGTGTTAGAAGGTTTTGACCGTAGCGGGTATCCTGAACTATATAGTAAGATCACTTCACTGAAACAGATAATCAATAAAGAAATATTGGCCTTGCCTTCCTGGTGTGGTTCAGTGGTTTAGCATCAACCTATGAACCAGGAGGTCATGGTTCCATTCCCAGTCAGGACTCATGTCCCCATTGGGGGCATGCAGGAAGCAGCTGATCAGTGATTCTCTGTCAATGATTCTCTCTCATCACTGATGTTCCTCTCATTTCCTCTCTGAAATCCATAAAAATATACTGGAACATGGAAAAAAAACACACAGAGCTCTAACTGGTTTGGCTCAGTGGATAAAGCGTCAGCCTGTGGACTCAAGGGTCCCAGGTTCGATTCTAGTCAAGGGCATGTACCTTGGTTGCGGGCACATCCCCAGTGGGGGGTGTGCAGGAGGCAGCTGATCGATGTTTCTCTCTCATCGATGTTTCTAACTCTCTATCCCTCTTCCTTCTTTTCTGTAAAAAATCAATAAAATATATATTTAAAAAAAACACACACATTTTACAACTATGAAATCAAGATGGTTTAGTGACTGCATAAATCTCATGAATCTATTTGTATATGATCCCTTTTGTGTTTTATAAACACAATAAGGAGAAAACATAAAAATAGAAAACAGATCAACCGAAGGACTTGTATGTATGCATATAAGCATAACCAATGGACATAAGACACTGGGGGGGAGGAGCGGCCAGGGGATTGTTAAGGGCAGGGAAAAACAAAGGACACATATGTAATACCCTTTGTAATACTTTTAGCAATAAAAAAGAAAAAATAGAAAACAAGTTAAACTATTGTTTTCCTTTCTGTGGTTGTAAATCCTCCCATGAGAAGATATTTCCCATTGATTTTTCGAGAGTGGAAGACAGGGAGGTAGAGGCGGGAAAAGAAGAGGGAGAGAGAGGAGAGGGAAATATGTGAAAGAGAGAGAAACATCACACCAGCCTAGGGGAACTAATTTTTCTTATTAGTACATTTCTTTCAAAATTTTTATGTATCATTAGTGGAGAGCTATGTTGTAGAAATTTAATGAAAGTGAACATACATTACTGATGTCATTCTTGAAAACTTTTAAGAAAATACAAAAAAATGATAGTGTAGGGCACTGGTTCTCAACCTTGCTAATGCCGCGACCCTTTAATACAGTTCTTCATGTTGTGGTGACCCCCAACCATAAAATTATTTTTGTTGTTACTTCATAACTGTAATTTTGCTACTGTTATGAATCGTAATGTAAATATCTGATATGCAGGATGTATTTTCACTGTTACAAATTAAACATAATTGAAGCATAGTCATTAATCACAAAAACAATATGCAATTATATATGTGTTTTCCGACAGTCTTAGTGACCCCTCTGAAAGGGTCGTTCGACCCCCAAAGGGGACGCGACCCACAGATTAAGAGCCGCTGGTGTAGGGTATGTTTCTCATGTGAGTATAGAATCGAAGGGAAATGTAAAGAATCAAGGCCTGATGTTTAAAGCTCCCATGAAAAAGCCAGTGATTTGTAGGAAATAAAAGTAAGTCCTTCATTTTCCAAAGCAAACCCAAACTAACAAGAGGGACATTTCCAGATGTGAAGTGATGGTCTTTGTACAACTTTCATTAAATCTCTACTACAAAAACAAAAATAATTCACTACTACACCCTTGTTCCTGTGAAAAGGAGACTATTGTAACGTCTGACCAAAGAAAGGCACCAGAGTACAAATTAAAAGCAGAATGCACTGTTTATTCAAGAGGCAGATGCTCTCGGGTGAGGTCCCGTGGTCTGCAAGCACAGGCCGGGGGAGTCGCACACAATAGGGGGAGTGGGAAGATTATATAGGCAGGTTTGTTGTCGGTTGCCCGGTCACTACCAGAATGTTTGTAGCAGTTTGCAGTTGGGCTGGAAACGGGATGTTTGGTGGAGTTGGAAAGTCCCTTGCCAATGTTCAGTTTGTGTTTGCGGTTCCCTTGGCGCCCGGTATCCACCTGGACCTTACAACTATTAACTCTACAGTGAGGGGAGCACCTCTGCCATGTGATCATCAGGTGGACTGAGACAATGGGCATCAGGTGACTGAGGCACATGGAAGGTCAGGGCACCACTGCTGTGACATTACTGCCAAAAATACCTCAATAAATATGTGGAAATGATCACAAATAAACGTTAGTTTGTGCAAGTGCCAATCCACCTGTGCCTCTCATGCTCTGTAAGCTCACAGTGCACTTACCGACCAAGTCTCTCGTACTAATCTAATGAGCAAGTCTCTTCTATTTGCCCTTTTTTCAGAACTTTCTGAGCGGTTCTGAGCAGTCAGATGTACATCTTTTTACCCCTGATGTATAGCTGATGCTGCAGCCACATGGAACTAAAACTGCATTTGCTTTCTTCACTGATACCTCAGTCTCTAATAAGAGGGACATTTCCAGCCTCTGACACCATCCCAATAGGGATGTTAGACATGGCTGCCTTCCAAGTTTGATCTGTCACAAAAGGGACATTTTGAGTAGTTGAAAGTCACTGATTAAAGGTAGGAATGCTTCCTGAATGCTTCCTCTACCCCTCCCTTTGCCACTTCCCCTCCCTCTCCCTCTCCCCTTTCCCACTCTCTCCCTTTCCTTTTTCTGCCCCTACTTCCCTAACTTGCACTCTTGGAAAGTTAATGGAAAATAGGTAGGAAAATATCTTCTCTGGGGAGGATTTACAACCACACAAATTTAAAACCACAGCTGGGGAGGGTAATAAAATGCATGCAGACAAGGCTCTGGGACAATGGAGGAGAGTATAACCCGGACAGTGTGGCTGAGAGGTAGAGGGCTGACCTATGAACCAGGAGGGCAGGCTTAGGTTCCTCGTCCAGACACACTCCAGGCTTCAAACTCCATACCCAGTGCATGCAGGAGGCAGCTGCCCCATGATTCCCTAACCTAATTGATGTTTCTATCTCTCTCTCCATCTCCTTTCCATTCTGAAAGCAATTAAAAATACATTTTGAAAAACAGGAAAAAGAGAAGAAAAACACACACACACAAAAAAGAAATATAGAAAGTGCTGACATTGAGTGTGTTGAATAAAGTAATAAAATAAGGAAAGAAAAACAACCTGCAAAGACAAGAACATCAGAGCAGAGAAATAAATCACCAGATGTCAGAGGAAAAGGAAACATAGTCTGTGACCCAGGACACATCTGTTACCTGGGAAGCAGCCATTTGGTCCTGGTCCTGATCAGGGTGTGGGGTGTTTTCTCAGGTGACAATACGTTGAGGAGTCACAGAACGTGCCTTCAAAGAAGTCAGCACAGCCTCTTAATCAGCTCCCCTCACAGTCACAGTCAGAAGGATCTGGAAAGGAGGAAAAGGCCAACTCTCCTGTCTTTGGTCAAAGAAAAGACAGGAACACTGAGCCCCTACGTGGAGACCACACTGTGAGGTGTTTAATTTCATCTTCATGTGTCTCTCCTCCAAAAGACACCCACAAACTCCTACAGAAATGAGAATGTGAGCTGCTGTCCTGACGCCCCAAACCGAACAGAGCACCCCCTCACCTCCCCCAAACAAAGCCTGCTCCCCACTCTCACAAAGGCATCCTGCACCCCTCCTGCTATCCTGTCCTCACCTTCCATCACCTGGAGGCCCTCAGTAACCAAGGATGACCCACCCATAGCAGCTGTCCAACTCCATGGGGGAAAGCCCACTTGAGGGCATTTCTTTAAGCTCCTCAGGGGATCTGAGAAGACACAGAGGATTTATCTGAGGATGTTTTCAAATAATAAATTGTCAGACATAGAAAAAGTAAATCCACAGAACACCACACGTCCCACAGCAACAAAGCTAAGGCTTTAAATAGTCCTGAAAAAAAAGGATCAAATGGTGACACAGGTCACTTCCTCGTGGCATCCCAGGAAATGACAAGGGACCCATGACCAACGGACAAGTCTCTCTCCTCTCAGTGAATAAAGGTTGCAATTGGAAGGAAATGATTATAAAATTCCCAAGCCTTACAAACAGGAGGTTTATAATTCTCATTCAACCTGTACAACGAATACAATTCAGCTGTTAAATTAAAAATATAAAGACACACCTAGGCAGCATAACTCAGTGACGGAGCTTGGACCTATGAACCATGGTTAGATCATGGTGGATTCCTAGTCCGGGCGTATGGCCAGGTTTCAGGTTTGATCCCGAGTGTGGGGCCTTCAGGAGGAAGCTGATACATGATTGTCTTTCCTCATTGATGTTTCTAACTCTCTCTCTCTCTCTCTCTCTCTCTCTCTTTGCCTCCTGGAGATGAACAGATGTGTATATATATATATATACACACATATATATATATATATATATATGTGTGTGTGTGTGTGTGTATATGTATGTGTATATATATATAACGATATATCACAACTTAACCATCCACAAA